CTCTAGCTATTCACGCAGATGCGTGGTCAAAGCTTCCCGGGGTATCAGAATGGGTGCTGAACACTATAAAGAGAGGCTATTCGCTACAATTCGCTCGACGCCAGCGCCGTTATACGGCGCGTGTCGAAACTACGGTGAAAAACGAAGTGTCTCATCTACTTCGTGCCGAGATAGCGAAACTACTGAGCAAAGGGGCTATAGAACCTTTATCTCAGGCTCAGAGCGAAGGGGGCCTATACAGCAGATATTTTCTGGTACCGAAAAAGGATGGGGGTCTCAGACCCATTTTAGATCTACGACAGCTGAACAGAGTGCTTGTGAAACGCCAGTTCAGAATGCTTACGACCAGGAAAATCCTCGCGCAAGTGCGCCACGGGGACTGGTTTATGTCGATAGATCTGAAAGACGCCTATTTCCAAATACAAATAGCGTCCCATCACAGGCGATTCTTGAGATTCGCCTTCGAGGGCCAGGCATATCAATACACAGTCCTGCCGTTCGGCCTGTCCCTAGCACCTCGTACATTTATGAAGTGCATGGACGCGGCGCTCGCACCCCTGAGACTTCAGGGCATGCGAGTCCTGAACTACTTGGACGATTGGCTGATTCTGGCTCGATCACGATCGGAGCTCATAGAACACAGGGCCGCATTACTCGAGCACCTCGAGGAGCTGGGCCTCACAGTCAATTGGGTGAAGAGCTCACTGTCTCCCAGTCAGAAAATTTCCTTTCTGGGAACCGTGTTGGACTCGCTGTCCATGACAGCACGCCTGTCACCAGAGCGCGGGCTAAATATTCAGCGCGGCGCGAAATCCTTCCGCCACGGCGCGATAGTTCCGCTCAAAAGGTTTCAGAAAATGCTGGGGCTGATGGCCTCAGCAGCCTCTGTACTCCAGTTGGGCTTGCTCCGCATGCGCCCACTGCAGATGTGGCTGAAAGCGCGGGTTCCACCCAGGGCATGGACAGCGGGTCTGTTTCGCCTCAGGGTCGACCTTCAGTGTGTTTCAGCTCTGGAACCTTGGAAAATAACCGACTGGTATCAGTCAGGTGTGAGTCTGGGGACCGCTTCGAGTGTGAAGGTGGTGTCTACGGACGCCTCCACCTCGGGGTGGGGAGCGCTGCTCGAGGGCAGACCGCTAGCTGGCCGGTGGTCAGAACGGGAAAAGCTCCTTCACATAAACTGCTTGGAGATGAAAGCAGTCGACAAAGCGCTACGGCGTTTTTGTCCCCAGGTAACAGGCCACCACGTCTTGGTCCGGTCGGACAACATGTCAGTGGTGGCATACATAAATCGCCAGGGCGGCGTCAGGTCACGAAACCTTCACAGGCTGACGGAACGCCTCCTGGTCTGGGCTCAGCACAACCTGCTCTCACTGAGAGCAGCGCACGTGCCTGGTCACCTGAATGTGGGACCAGACAGACTGTCCAGGAACAATGTTCCAGCAGGGGAATGGTCGCTGCACCCGCAGACGGTCCAGCTGCTGTGGAAAACGTTCGGCAGAGCACAGGTGGACCTATTCGCGTCCCACGAAAACGCTCATTGCCCGGAGTTTTTCTCGAAAAGCAAGGACGCGCTGGCTCATGTTTGGCCCCGCTGCCCCCTATATGCTTTTCCTCCTGTCTCGCTCCTGCCTCAGGTGTTGGAACGAATCAGGGAGAACGGATGCCCAGTGCTGCTCGTAGCTCCGCTCTGGACAAACCAGACGTGGTTCCCTGCCCTGATGCAGCTGACCAGCACTGCCCCATGGCCTGTACCATTGAGGAGAGACCTCCTCTCTCAGGCGGAGGGCTCGATTTGGCACCCTCGCCCGGAGTTGTGGTCCCTGCACGCATGGGCCATCAACGGGTACCCGCTAGCCTCCCAGAAGGAGTGTTAAACACGATCGCGCAGGCTAGAGCTCCGTCTACCAGGCGGCTCTACTCCTCGAAATGGTCTGTTTTCTCTGCATGGTGTCAAGCCCAGAGCTTTTCACCTGTGGAATGCGGGGTTTCGGAAGTACTTTCCTTCCTTCAAGAGCTACTGGATAAGGGCAGGACCCCATCCACGCTCAAAGTATATGTGGCGGCCATAGCAACGTTTGCAAAACCGGTGTCTGGCCAGTCGCTGGGGAAAAACGACTTAGTCGTGCGTTTCCTTAGGGGAGCTCGGAGGCTGAACCCTCCCAGGCCCCCTTCAGTCCCGACGTGGGACCTTTCCACGGTCCTGGAGGCCATGAAAGGCGCCCCGTTCGAGCCAATCCAGCTGGTGGACATGAAACACCTGTCGTTCAAAACAGTGTTTCTCATGGCTCTTGCTTCAGTGAAGCGCATAGGGGACTTACAGGCGCTTTCAGTAAGCGCGTAGTGTATGGAGTTTGGGCCTAATGACTCGAAGGTCATTCTCAAACCAAAGCACGGGTATGTCCCGAAATCCCTCAATACACCGTTCAGGGCCCAGGTAATTTCCCTGTCCGCCCTTCCGGTTCTCAGTGAGGAGGAGGATGCGAGTCTCCTTTGCCCCGTCAGGGCATTGAGAGCTTATGTGTCACGCTCGTCTGTTTTCAGACAGACGGAGCAGCTTTTTGTTTTGTTTGGCGGGCGCTCCAAGGGACTCGCCGCCTCAAAACAGAGCCTATCCAGATGGATAGTGGATGCCATTGCGCTCGCTTACTCTGCGAAGGGCCTACAGTGCCCCTTGGGTGTCAGGGCGCACTCCACGAGAGGCGTGGCCTCTTCGTGGGCATGGTCGAGCGGGGTTTCCCTGCAAGATATCTGTACGGCCGCGGGCTGGGCCTTGCCGTCTACATTTATAAAATACTATAACCTGGAGGTACCCGCCTTACAAGCTAAGCTTTTGGCGGTCTAAAATTCAGTGCTATCTGCCCCGCTGTGCGGCCCAGATGCTGAGTTTACTGCAGCCCCATGAGTGTTGACACACGTATGGCCACCCAGATCAGGCTGAAAGCTTTCACCCTGGCTGCGCGTTTTATTGTCATATGATAGCCCCGCTGGGTGCTTTTTTATAGGGAATGACGCTTCCAGCCTCTCTTCCTCCACTCTATGTGAGTTTATGGTGATTATGCACTACATGAGCCCTGGGCTTCGGCCCCCGGGACTTTGGTGTTGGATCCCTGTACGCACGGCGTGTTGCATTGTGTTCCCCTAGCGTAAGCTATTACGCAGTACGAGAGATACTCTCGTAAGAGAACGTACTCGGTTACTAACGTAACCTCGGTTCTCTCTAGAGAGGGAACGAGTACTGCGTATCCTGCGTAAAAACCAGCTTGTATCAGCCTAACGAGCATATTTATAGGGTGAGACCACGCCCCTTCTGGCGGGACGTGACGATATGGGCGCGAATTGCCCCCATTGGTCATTACGTCACGCAGAGTCTCTCTCGATAGGCTGCTGCATTTGCTGCAGAGCAACCAATAGGCGCGCGAGCTGTTTCGCCTGTCTGCTTGCTGCTGCAAAGCGTTTTACATTAATAAAAAATTAAGGATAATTTTTGGCTTCAATATCTCGCGGAAAAGAGTTTTTCCCCTAGCGTAAGCTATTACGCAGTACTCGTTCCCTCTCTAGAGAGAACCGAGGTTACGTGAGTAACCGAGTACGTTTTTTTTCACATGCTTTTGTAACAGGACGGCATGCGGGCCGCTGCGCTATGAAACCCTTTCATTTCAATGGCTTGCGGCGCGCGAGGACGTTTTGAAAGCGCAAGCGGATCTAGCTAGACCGGAAACAAAACAACAGGCACGCTTGCACACACTTGTTTGGGCTTGCGAGCCGGATGCGCGAGCGCGAATCTCTCTGCTCGCGCGCGGAATATAATGTGCCGAGCACGAATCTCTCTGCTCGAGTCGCGCGCGCTCTCAGATACACGCTGCTCTTGTAAGAATTTTCTCTGGGCTCACTCAGAGAATATGCCTGCACTTAAAACGTGTTCAGTGCAATCGCGAATCTCTCCTCTTCCCCAGCTAACAATTTTAGGTTATAAGAATGTTTTCATAACGTTCCCATTAAGTTATAAAAACGTTATTTCTGAATGTTATAGGAACGTTCAAAACGTCCAGTTTTGAGTGGATGACGAGCGTGAGACGCCGAAATGGATGCCAATAAGATTCTGAATGGAAAGTTTACTTTTAAAAAGTTGCCAAATGGTTCTATTGACAAGACCAAAGTGATCTGTGTGTTTTGTCGTTGTGAACTGAGCTATCATCATCGCAGCACGTCCAGTCTGAATACCACTTGATGATGGCCAGCACACACACACACACACACACACACACACACACACAGCTGATGCGAATTCTCCGCCCCCTCGTCAATATCAGGACCTCGTCAGTATTTATTTCACCCTTTTATTGATGGACAGTGTTATATTGTGTGAGAGATTATTTGCTCCAAGTGATAATGTTTTAGTGTGAAATTGAACAGTATATGCCAATATTGTTTTCAATAAAAAACATTTGCACAAAGCAAGCCGATCCACTTTTCCATGTTGATAAGAGCATTAAAATGAGAAAAAAATAATGGGACAAAAAGAAATCAAGAGACATTTAGAATAGATAAAAATGTGCGATTAAATGCGATTAATCGCGAGTTAACTATGGCATTAATGCGATTAATCGCGATTAAATATTTTAATCGTTTGACAGCACTAATATATATATATCTCTTATAATATAGAATATATATTGTTTATCTAATATATTGTATATCTCTTATAATATAGACTGTCTATATTCTCCTATATCAATATCATGGTCTTTTGCCCAGCCGGTGGACAAAACTGTCAGACAGAGAATTATTATGAACTATAATGAATATCTCAGAGATGAAACCTTTAGAACAAAGATCAACAGCAAGCAGTAAGAAAGGGACATTTGGAAAACGAATTGTATTTGTAAGAGCTGTGTAACAGAGGACTGACATATACAGTCCAGGGGGGTGACGGGGGGAATCCAACTCATTTAAAGTTGTTATAGTGTATATGACTTACTTGTTTACTTTGCCTCTAGGTCACCAATAAGATGGCCTGCACGCTGCCTCGGTCTAAAGCGGATTGTGTGTTTGGATCCGGCAGTCCTGTGGTCACGCTGTACCGGGAGGTGTTCTTCCTCACCGGCATCATCACCCAGCCCTCGGGAGCCGACTGCAAGAGCGGATACGTCCTGCAGAAAGTGTCCCGCTACCTGCCATGGCTCAACTCCTTCATGACGGCCTAACCAGAGAGAAACCACGCTTCACCCGGGTTCATATTACCAGTGTTCACACTTACAGACGTAACGGTAGCACTTTATTTTACAGTGTCCGTGTTACATATGTAGTACTTATCATAGTAATAACAGTAAATTATGCATAATTACATGCATCCTAATCCTAACTAGTAAGTACATGTTAATTAATATTACTCAGTTCTTCACCCTCATCCTTCCCTTGCGTCCTGTAACGCATCTTTCACTCGCGGGTCAAAATGACCCGAAGCCCTACTTTTTTCTTTTTCTTTTTTTTTTGTCTAGAAAGCTTATTTTATTTCATTTTGATAATATTTTTTCTATGTTATTATGCAATTTTTTGGGAGAATTTTTATTTTATTTACCTTTAAATTACTAGATTTGATAAATAAATAATAAATACAAAGTAATTTAGTAATTTAAGCAACTTTCAAATTCAAAATAACACAATTTAATGCATAACCCTTTTAATTCAGTTCAAAATATCTTACATTGAGTGTCTTTGCCGACCTCTTGTGGAAAATAAATAATAAAACATGATATTTCATGACTCTTGCCACTAGATGGCCTTATAGCTCTATATGAGCTGTTCTTCTGGGTCCTAAAGTCAGTTTCTCTTCAGAAAAGTGCATTCAGATACACATGTAGACATTATAAAATGATTTTTTGGTAAAGTTTTAGTATTATTAGTTTGAATTTTGAGCATTTTTAGGTTTTTCTCTGTGTACTGAAGCATTCCTCACATTCCAGTCATTCCTATGGGGTCAAATTGACCGGCGAGGGAAGGATTTGTTACTTTTTTAAATGTCAACCACAAAACCTTGAATCCATAAAAAATAATTGTGTGTATTCGTGGTTCAAGTGCAACAAAAGCCATGGGGTCTTGGACCTCTTTGATGAACACACAAAAAAAAGAAAGATAAAAAAATGTCCTTGTCAAAATGACCCTTGTTAAATATATATTTACACAGTAACAATGACACCTTAAAAAAAAGTGTAACCCTATATACTTCTTATACTTATACCTATATATTTATGAAGTAATTACAATAATTGGGTAAAAACTAGGTACTAACCCTGAGCCAATCGCTGAACCCAATCTTAACCCATGTAGTTAGCTTATATTATTCAGTGCTTTCTTGCTAAGTACACTGCAAGTACACATACTGTAAAATAAAGTTCAACCCACATAACTTATGGTGTGCTCAGCCATTCAGCAAATGATGAAGTACAGCAGAACGGGTCAGAAGTGTGGTGCAGGTCCTGAACTTCTCCTGTTTTATTAGCAGAGGCAGACACTTCGCTTTCTTTGAAATAACATGCACTGATACATATTTCTCAATAACACAATGAATGTGTATGAATGGGTCATGACATTCTTTTTTTTAACTATTTAATTTTCCCTCACTTATGTTAGTTAGTTTTTTGTACCAAAACACTCAATTAGTAATATACGACCATTGCATAACTAACGAGCATGAACAGTGCAGATGGGATAAATAAGGGAACTGATACATGTACCTTCTCTTTTTTCTTCTTTTCTTTTTTTTAAGCTTGACTTTGGGACAGCCATTCAGAAATATGTAAACGAGTGATGTTGAGGAACCTTGACTGCTTTTTATCATATAGATACTACTGTGATTCTTTGGATAAGTGACTCTTCGCCATAAATATAATAATAATAAAGAGAGAGATAAAAACTGAAGTCTGGTAGAGCTGCACGATTCTGAACGGACGACTAAACAAAATCACTAGAGGTTCTGACAGTGTTGCTGTAGTCTATTTAAAGGTGTTTAGTTAAAAATGTCTATTAAACAGTTAATTTGAATGAATGATTATTTTCCTTTAATTGTGTAGCGCCTGTAAACTGTTCGTGTCTTAAGGATTGTCCCACAGGTGAATGTGCAATTATTGAAGCATGACAAACCTTTCCAATAAAGATCTGTAAAGCTTATTGTAATTTACTCTATTGTCTTTGAAATACACTATCCTGAGAAAGGGACCTATCTTTTTTTTTTTTTTTTAGTTAATGTATTAGGTGTGTTACGACCCCTCTTTGGCTCTCATCCGTCTTGGGATTGTTAGAAGGGGAACACAAGACCAGTTCAGACAAACGTCTCTATGGAACACTGTAAGAATTGAGAATCACGAGAGACACAGCCAAAATAGAATAAAAAGTAATTTAATAAGGATAAAGTAATTTATATTACATGTGAACAAGGCAAAAAGGAAGAAAGGGAAAACAGGACTTGTGCCAAACAAACGACAATAACATAAGCAAAACGAAACTAACTAAACCATTTCAATCTAAACCTAAACTAAAACAAAAGATCAAAGAAAAAGTCTTCAACGTCCGAGACGTCGTAAATAAACTATACTGACTAATGAAAACAAAAATACAGGGGGTGGCACAAATCCCTAACCTAATGAATATAGACACAAAAGAAAACTGAGTGTGCAAAATGTATGTCACGTGACAATCTTACCTAGTCCCTTCCTCCTTCCCGCTTAACCCAGCTTTGCAAAGCTGTTTAACAGAATCAGAGTTCACGAATGAGAAGTTTCAGGGAGCACTCAAAACAAAAAGCAAGCGTAACATGACAGACAAAACAAACATTTAACAGAACTAAATCAACCGGAGAGAAAACAAAACATCTCAAAGCAAAAACAAAAATCTCTCTCTCTCTCTTCCTGGTGTTAGCATGCGTCTTAACCTGTTAACTGTCACCCCCCTTTTTTTTGCATAGACATAAAAATCACTATCCAAACTTAAATGGTTGTAATTCAGGAATGCTTTGGAATATAGACCTATGGCTGGTCTTGTTTTAAAGAAGACATTTTCCAGATTATTGTAGAAGTCTAGAAATGATAAAAAATGAAACAGAAAAAAAGTTATATAAGTTTGAGTTTATGAAATTGTGTAATGTAAAAATATAAGTATTAATATTTTATATAAAATATATATATTACAAAATACATTTTACTCTAAAACTGCAAGAAAATTAAAGACAAAAATCTGAACAAGTTGTATTCCAAATTTTAGGTTGATATCTAAAAAAATGAGCTTTCAGTAAGATTTTATTTGGGCGCAGTACCCAACTTTTTCACTAGACTCCATTACTGCCCATATAAGGGCGCCTCCATTTTCATATGTGTTTTGAGTGATCTGAACCATGTATTTCCATAATTTTCATACAATTTATGAAGTAGACATCCTATTCAGAAGTAGTATGGGTGGTTTGGCAGTATTTGATTTGAATTCAACCTCTAATAAATGCATAAAAAGACTACGTTATAGCGTTATAGCTCGCAGCCAATCAGAAATCGAGAATCCATACATTTTTCTTTATATTTAAAACATTTTCAGACCTTTTTTTCTCATAAAATGGAATTGGTGTTATCTTTTGAACTCATGGCATGAAAACAAACTGAGGTTTCTACCTATCTTTCATGATTTTTCGTGTTTATTGTTATTTCAAAATAAAGGCCTAAACTCCTAATGAATATGAAATATTCTTGTTGCAAATTGATAAATTACTGCTCCTCTGTAATTTATTTTAGATAACAGCCACGAAATATGAAAACTAGAGATTTTAAGCTTTCAAATGATATATAGTTTGGCAATATTACTTTAGGTTTTTATTAAGATATTATTGTTTTAAACATGCAATGGCAAATGGAGGTATAGTAATATACCTCCATATACCATGCAGGTTAAGAGGTAGGGCTTCTCCAGGTGTCAAGCATCAGGATGATGAGGATCCCGCCTCACAAGGCAAACCCACTCAACTCGTTACGAGTGATTGACAGGTAATACAGCCAATCAGCGACAGCCTGTGAAAGTGAAAGTAAGAGAGACAAAAGAGACCAAAAAGAGAAACACAAACCCCCAAGAAAACACTATAAACTTCCCAAAGGACGTAACAGGTGAGTTGTGATGTTAAAGCATTAAAAACCCCAAAGGTTTCCAAACACTGATTTACAGTATATGCTATGATTATATATATATAGCCAGTGGCATATATATATATATATATATATATATGCAGAAAAGATGATTAAGACACAAAAGATGTGTTTGTTTATTTCAAAGTCTTTACGGTTCCCTTTTGAAAGGGAACTCGCACTGCGTCGATGACGGTATTGGGGAACGTCCTCCACGTGAACCGGTGTCTGAAAAACTATCCAATCACGACAATCGAATTTGATCGGCGACAGCCTATGACGTCACTACTAGTGCGACCCAGAAGTATAAAAGGGCCGCCTAGAGAACATGTCATCCTCTTTGTCTTCAGGGACTGTCTTGTCTGATTTTCAATCACCTGAAAAAGGTAAGAACATTTATGGCAAGTGAAAAGCATTTCAGGAAGTGTGTGGATCCGTGTCTTAGGTTTCTGACACCTGATGACACACAACTTGTGCGTTTATTGTTTGGGCGAAGAGCACGCACGATCAGCTCTTGAGAGACCTGGTTGTGCAGAATGAGAGAGTTTTCCTCTTAGAAAACTACGCTCTCGTCGGGCCCTCTTCTCAAGGAAAGAGGGACAGGCATCTGGGGCCAGTGGTCGGGTCCCGCTCGTGCTGAGGCACTGCGGAGATTTGGATCATGGGGTTCCCAGATGGAGCTCGCTGATGAGTTTGAGAGAAGTGTTTCTCTCTCACGCCCGTCAGAAGTTCGCGAGGGTGCGCTGCTGGACGAGGATGTGTTATCTCTTACATCCTCTGATCCAGCAGCTAGTGCTCTGCTGGCACCCAGCCCAAGAGAGCAGGAGATGCTGATGAGTGTGAAGAAGAGGTACAACCGTAACCCTCACAGCCTCCCTGCCCCGCGTATGATGAGCTGTTGGGTGTTATGGAGCGCGCTTCAGCGAAGCTTCAGCTGCCGTGGGAGCACGTGAAGGAAGGAGCCGTTCGTGGCAGGCTGGATGAGCGGTTCTTTTCTGGCCATAACTCCCCAGCTCCTGTGAGCCTTCTGCCGTCTGCATATGCGGCGGCGGGTCAGGCTGGGGCTGCCTTACACACGATGTCTGTGTTACAGGCACACCAAGCCGACCTGCTGAAGGATTTGGACCAGGGGCAGGGTCTCTCCCCCCTGACGCAGTGGACGAGCTGCGCCGCACCACAGATCTGGCTCTCCGGGCCACCAGAAAAACCACTGCCTCGATTGGTAGGTCGATGGTGGCCACGAATCTGGAGCCAATCTTGGTCACCCAGTGAAATGTACAGGTTGGCTTCTTGGAGGAAGAGGAACTCATAGAGGAATCTCTAGTGAGGCCACCATGCACGTGAGCTTCAAACAGGTTTTGTTCAGCGTGGGATGGCTTCCTCCCATTTCGGGTTGTCTCCTGAGGCCACCACTTTGTATAAGCTCCAGATAGACCAGCCAAGCATC